AGCCCGAAGCCGGCAGCTTCGGGCTGAGGCTGCGCGCCGTCCGCCGGCCCGACGGCTCCTCCCACATGACGCACGCCAGCGCCCACACCGCCCACGGCGTGCGGGTCGTCGCGCCCCCGCCTCCCGACAGCCTCGCCGCCGGGACGGCCCCGCAGCCCGAGGGACAGTTCGGCGACAGGACGCGCCCCGTCACGGGCCAAGAGCCGGTGAGTACGGTCGGCGCGTGGCACACGCATCCGGACGTGAAGGTGGTGCTGCCGCCTGGGTTGGATGACTCCTTAGGGCCAGCCGTCGGCGACGACGGCGGTCAACCTCAACTAGACGGGTCGGAGAATTCAAAAGCTGAAGGGAAACCTATGGCAGGGGAGCAGAAACCTACAGAAGAAGAAAAGCAGACGTCGGATAAACCTGCAGAAGATGACGGCACCAGGCAGAAACTACCTGACACGCATGTCGTGCTGCCCCCTGCGTGGGATGAACCGGGATTCAAGCCCCCGGTCAACGATGATGCGGAAAGAGGTGAAGGAAGTGGAGATGATGATGACGAATCCATGCAGCCTAATGTACAGCTGCCAGCTGTGGATGGCGAGCCCGGATTACGACCCCCTGGAGAACAGGAAGCAGACAGTACCAAACAGAAACTGCCAGACACTTTGGTAGTTCTGCCTCCGGCTTGGGACGAACCGGGATTTCGACCTCCTGAAACCGGTGGAGTGCGAGACGAAGGCAACAAAGACGGAGATGACACCAGAAACAAGGAACCGAACACGTCGGTTCAGCTGCCCCCTGGATACGAAGATTTAAAAGATCAACCCTCCGGAGACGAAGAAGGGGTGAAAAAAAAAGAAAACGGCAAAGATGACGACACCAGACAGAAGCTACCAGACACTTTGGTAGTTCTACCTCCAGCTTGGGACGAACCGGGATTTCGACCTCCTGAAAACGGCGGAGTGCGAGACGAAGGCAACAAAGAGGGTGATGATACCAGAAACAAGGAACCGAACACGTCAGTTCAGCTGCCCCCTGGATATGAAGATCTAAAAGATCAGCCATCCGGAGATGTAGAAGGGGTGAAAGAAGCAGAAAACAGCAAAGATGACGACACCAGACAGAAGCTACCAGAAACTTTGGTAATTCTACCACCAGCTTGGGATGAACCGGGATTTCGCCCACTTGCAAACGTGGATTCGCTAAGAGATGAAGAAACTCAAGACAACTCAAAGGCCCCCGAGCAATCAGATGCTTCTCCTGGACAAAAACCAACGCCCGTGAAAGGCGAATCGAGTTCAGCAACTCCATCGGGTGACACTTCACCAAACAAAGACTCGACCAAACAAGACGCCGCTAAGGAAACGCAAAAACCAGCACCCGTAAAATCAACTACGCAAACTGTTAAGGGCGATCAATCGCCTCCCGAAAAGTCCGTGATGAATAACGATGAAAACGGCCAAAAGAAAAACCCAGAAGAAGGCAAAGAACCAGCCAAACCGGACGAGACGGAGCCAGTCGACAAACCTCAGGACGCGCTTCCCGATTCCCCGCAGGTCAACACGAAATCCGGAGGCGCGGCCACGGCAGACGATCCTCCACCGCGCCTCCAGGTGCCTCCAGAATTCTACCTGACGCGCAAAAACCACGCGGCGCGCCCGCACGTTCGGCCGACGCCGCCTCCGTCCGAGCAGCCGGACTTCATCGCGGAGAACCCTCTCTTCGAGTGGACGTTCCCGTGCTCCTCCCAGGAGAAGAGCTGCCTCGACGAGGACCGCGTGCTGTACGACGGCGACCGCAAGTGCTACCAACTGTGGCGCTCGGGGCCGTGCGAGCGCGGGCAGTGGCTCGTCATCGACAAGGCGGAAGCCCTCAACGGCAGCGGCCACTTCCGGGCCGTGTGCGCCAATATGTCGCGGTGCCCTGAACGAGAGGTATGTATCCCACGTGTGAAATTTATTTAATATTGCATGCGAAATAAATTAATATTATTAAAAATATTTAGAGATATTTTAATAACTATTATATTTACCACTTCGTGTATTATAAGGAAAATGTTCTCGCTTAAAGGTTATTTGAGTGTTATCTAATATTCAACTTTAATGAATTTGCTTTCTCAACAAACGCTACTGTAAATATTAAAACAAATTTAAGCGGTACTGATACGCGTGTGAAAAACGCACTATTTTGAAAATGTAAAATTGCTTTAGTGTTCCAAACGTTAAAAAAATAGTAAGTGAAAAAATATCAATATTCGTACATTGTGCATTATTTCGCTAAAAGTCGTCTCAAAGTATAGTTCCATAAACTAAATAACTGACGTCTTGGTGGCAACAATTCACTTAATTTATACATTTTTCTAAAATATTTAAGATCGATGCGATTCGGAAATGAGTTGATTTAAGAATATAATAATAATGTGTAAATTGTACGTCGAAATTGCCATATAAGCCATATCTTTGTTCATAAAATGCGTTTAATTAGTTAATGCCTATAAAATTATTCACAATAAAAATGTGAACAAGGACTTCCAAACGTTCATAAGTAAGCATTTTATCACGTGTTTGATTTCTACACTTCAGTAATTAATTGAAAACTTTCCATTTTTCGAGTAGGAAACAAATAACATTCACAGCCGTACTCTTTAAATTTAAAAAAAGAGAAGTCACCATATTTTTTATATAAAGTATTTAGAGTATGACTATTAAAAATATTGAATTTTAAAAAAACGCTGTAAAATTAATGTATTTTTCTGCTGTAATTCTCAACCCGTGTAACAAAACATCGTGTTACCGAAATTCTTAACCCATTCACGTGCATTTTTAACGTCTTCTAGTTAACGGAATGATGATTAAATTTAAATATAGGAATAATATTGTTGCAAATCCCAGCTATCTGAACATTTTTGTTTCATCACAACACTTCTCCGATATTTAGTCCAGTCACACTAACCTATTCAGAGCTTCCTTTACAGTACCTACCAAAATGTACGCCAAACTAAAGATGAGTCTTCGGTCTTTAACTCTCTATTAACTTTGACCAGTTCAGTATTCAAAATCAATTTCTCAAGAAGTCCGACATAGCTAGACAAAAGTCAGAAAATTATTTTGATTAAGTAAAAATATTTTAAAACGCTGAGACTTGTAATTGATCCACAAAATTACCCTTACTAACCATATAATCAATCAATGCCCTTAAGCAGGTGTTCATGGCGAGCGACCGTCAGTGCCACCCGTTCGCCCAAATCATCCGTGAGATCTGCCCCAAGCACGAGGGGCTGCAGCTGAGCTACAACGTGTTCGGCGAGGGCGAGTGCAAGTGCGACAACTGCCCGCACCCGCAGCTGCCCACCAACACCTTCGGCGAGGGCCGCTGCGCCTTCCCGCCCTCCTTCTACCGCTCGGGCGTGCACGTGGGGCTGGAGGTCGCGTGGCGCGCCGCAATGGCCGAGGCGGCCGTCGACGCGGCGGGCAAAGCGGCGGGGGCGGT